AGGCAGTTTCCTCACTCACACTGTCTAAAAACTCTACAGATCTCTGGAGCTGTCTCTTCATGCAGTCCTCTCCTATACAAGAACTTGCCTTGTGAATTCCAGCAGCCTTAGCCTCTCCAAATTCTTGAACTCTGTCTCCTTAACTTAGAGTAATTGCTGGGCTCTGTTATATATCTGAAACATATTAATAATATATTATATATTCCTGTACTGCAGCCTGGAACTCTCTCCAATCAGTAAACTGCAGCAATCTCATTTGTTTTCCTTCTCTGAAAGATCACTGTCTGTGCTACTTGTCAAATGTCTGAAAACTGTCATCATATACATTGCCTACCTTAGTTCTAGGAGAGTAAGCTCAGTCCCTTTTACTCAATCAGCATTAAAGACATCACTGTATCACTAAAATATCTCTATATCTTCTTAGTCTGCCCTGTCAAATATCGACTTTAGAGAGTCAGTTGAGTATAACACAGTGGTTATAAAATGGGCTCTGGAATCAAACACCCTGGGTTCAAGTGGCAACTTGGTCACTATTATTTGTATGACCTTATGTAAGTCATCTAACATCTGAGTCCAACTTATCTATAAAATAAACATAGTAGAAGTATAAATCTACCTGAGGGATACTGTGAAGTTTAACTGAGGAAACACCCAGAGCATTGAACATCACCCCTAGCACACAGTAAATACACGATGGTCACCAACATACCCATCATCATCATTTCCTCATACACCGACTGACAAAGATGGCAACCTCACGTCAGTCTGCCTGCTCTGGCATTGCCACAGCTGTTACCAACAACACGTGTGCCCGCCACAGGCTACACCTCAACTGTCTACACTCACTGAAGAATCTTGTCAAGTTTGATAACTGCCAGGAATGTCTCCTCCAGCTGATGAGTTATGTTTGTTGCTCCCTAATTCCTCCCGAGTCATCATCCTCTCAATATGGGTTTCTTCCAGTCAGGATCAAAATGTCACCATTTTATAGATATCCTGGCCTGCCTCCCTCAGAAGGAGCAGAACGTTCATCATACAGGTTCATTCCAAGTACCCCACAGACGGTGACTTGGTTTTTGCATTTAGCATAACAATAAAATTCTGAAAGCATATTTTAAAACCTAAAATGAAATTATCACAAGAAAACAGCACAGCAAGCAACTCAGCTTTTCTCTACTTAATGTTCTATTGACTTATGTTAAAGCTTTGTTTGCTCTTTTGCCAACCTCTGGGGAGAGATATTCCGTAAGTGCAACTGGCTAAATGAGCATTAAAAGTAAGTGAAGTTTTGCTTCTTTACTAAAAAAGCTATTATTTGTTAGATGTATTCAGGCACTGTTTTAGATATGCCATAGGCAGTACTATACGGAACTATATTGATCTCATCTAAATGAAGATTTATTTTTCTAAATTACATATATATGGAGCGAGTCTTAATAAAGCCACTGCTTAAGTTTGTCTTTCTATGAATGCATAGTCTGTATACTGATAAAACACAACAGTGGGTGTTATAATTCAGCACAAGTTACATCCTAAACACAAAGGAGACTTAGAGACATTATTTTCACAGCTTACAGAGCACTTTCATAGACATTATCTCATTCATTCTTACAACAATCCTGTGAGCTAAGGACTTACAAAAGAGAAGGTTAATATTGTGGAAACAAAAGAAAAGAAAGACTCAGATGCCAAAGAGCAATCCTTTCTCTTCTCTAAAAATAGTTAATGCTA